TTAAAGAGTGAGATGAAACCCTCAGTCCTCCCTCCACTGGGAAAGCCTGGGACCCAGACGTGCCCAGCCTCACTCCGGATGCTCTGACGGGCGAAGTGCGGCGCAGGCATTGAGGACCAGGGACTGCTGCTTTCCGTGGGAGCGCATCGTTTAAGCTTTGGTTCCTGCTTTCTTTTGAAGACAATTTTCAGAGGAAAATCTCTAGACATTGGCTTACTTCTTATTCACAGTCTTCATATGAAGCAGTCTTTTTTAGATCTTTAAAGGGGTAGTTCCCCAAGTATTGCAAAAAACATGTGCTTTAAATATGTGCCTAGTGATGATTTCGAAGGGCTTGCTACTTATTAACCAAACGGTAGTGGGGAGGCAGGTGCTGTTGTCCCTGTTCCCCAGGTGGGGAAACTGAGGCACCGAGAGGCGAGAAGCCTGAGCAGGTGACGGCGTGGCTAGTGTTCGGGATGCAGCCCAGGTAGCCTGGCCTCAGCATCGCTGCCCGCAGTGGGGCGCTCGGGACTGCAGTGCGCATGGGTGAACGGGAGGGAGATGGGGCCACCGGTGACATTGGGGTAATAAGACCTAACTTATCCAGCGCCTGGTGACATAGCAACAGAGTTACCTGGGCTTCCGGTACCAGGCTCCGTGGGTAGATGATAATACACCCACTCTACAGAGCAGTAAACTGAGGCCTAATGGGGGCAAGTGATTGCACCAGGCCTCACAGCTCCTCACAGTCGCAGCCTCGTCTGTCTGCCTCTAACCCCCGCACCGACCCACCAGCCGCACCGCCTCTACTTCAGTGTTGCTTATCATGTTGTGATGTTCTCATTTAGCAAGAACAAGTGTGAAATGACCCAGCTCCTCGCTGAGTATGCACTCATCACAGCTCCGCAGAACGGCGGCGGTCAGCTCGGCCTCTAGGGGATAGGATGGGGTCAGGTAGGGGAGAGGGTTTGGAAGAGAAAACCTCGTTAGCCTCACTCCTTTCCTTCCCTCCTCCCCAGCTTCTAATGCCACCTCCCAAGGGAAGACAGCTCTGGTCCCTACAGACATCGCTCTGAAACCACCACGGCCATCACACTGGTTCCTTTTGCTTTAAGCACCATCCCGGGGACAGCCCTTCCAGGGAGCTCTTGCCCGAGTTGATCATCAGACTGGCACTCGGACGGGAGACAATGTCTTCCCTCCCTTCAGTGAGAATTTTCTTCTGCAGCGAATACATTTGAACTCCCCTCTTTCCTTTTCTGTCCACTCCGTCTCCACATATTCCCCGAGCTGGTTCCCACATGGCTTAAACATACAACATGCCCAGAATTTTGCAGTGAGCCCCCCTGTGATTCGGATCTCTCTGTGTCTGTCTGTCTCGAATTCCCCCCCTCCTCCCCCCATTAGGCACATGGAAGGCCTATGCCACCTGTTAGCGTATTACATCACTGCCTCCCCAGACCACAGTTGCACCAAAGGCCTTAAACAAAGTCCTCCTTCTTGTATTGTTTGCACTCAAAGAGTTGATATCATGCCAACTGATGTCATTGTATGTCTTTGTGTAACTGCTATGGCAACTGGGCAGGTGGGGAGCCCCCAGCTGATGTCATTGGGAAAGGAGGTGTAGAGACAGAATTTTAAAAAGCTCCGGGCTGCTTTCTTCTGCGTGGGGGGTTTGCTGGCGCCCACTTTTTTTAACCAGCCGCTTTTGAGACAAATTACGGCTTGAGTACCCTACGTAAGATGAGAGCGTTCTGGTTTCCCCCCCCCCCACCCCCTTAGAAACTTCTTTTGAATTCGTTTTAGTTCGTTCCTCTCATTGTTTATGGAAAAGTGTAACAACTGTCTTTTTCTTTGGGGGGGAAAAGAAAGTGAAGGAGGTTCCCATTCCGGAATCAGTGTGGAACTGTCCGCTTGGACTTGGTAGGGGCCAAAGCCGGGCAGGTTTTAAATATCCTTTCAGTCTCTTTTGTGGAGCTGGTGATGGGGGCAGTGGGTAATTTCAGTGTCTTAAATGCTTTCACTAGTGAAGTGTTTCAGGATTTCCATTCCATTCTGTCTACTTTAAAAATTGAGCCCAGATAACCCCCCCCCATGATTTCATAGCAGAATAATAATATGTAAGGGCAGCATTTAATTCTCAAAATCAATTAAAATGAGGTGAGAGCTCTTGCTTTTCTTTGCAAAAGGAAGAGCGAGGTTTGACCCTGACAGAGGAGTGAAGCGATCCTAATATTACCCCTCGGCATATGCTTGGGGTCATTGCCAGACCTGAACATGTGACCTCCCTGGTGTCCATGGCCAAGTCCCCGTGTGCTGGCTGTGACCAGCCCCGACACTGGATCCCCGTTACAGTCTGGCGCTTCCTGCTGTGGTCGCTAAAGATGAGACTTGAAGGGCATACGGGAGGCTCGGAGGCCAGTGGACAGATAGACTTCCCGTCCTTGTTTCACCACAGCCGCATCCTGTTCACACTCTTGTTTCCTGTTTTACCTCTGAAACCAGGGAGGCTGTGTTTGGGTAGCTTTCAGCTTATTGGAGATTTCCAACACCTTCCTCTTTGCAAAGGAAAGGCCAGAGCGCATCTGTTTCTGTTTGATTGGAATTAGAGCTGATTTGGTGCTATAGCCCTTCCTTGTGTATTGTATAATATGACCCTCATAATAATGCTTTGGGCTTATCCACGTGTGTGATACAACGAACAAATATGAAAGGAAACTTTAAGTTAGGAAATTTCTGGATCCTAGTTTGCTTAAACAAGTTTTGTTTTGTTTTGTTTTTTTGCATAGTCCTTCAACTTTTGCTCACTATGTATGGTGGATGTTTTTGAATTGCCTTTTTTTTCATTTAATATCAAATATTCTCTTCGTTTTCCTCTTTTTTCACAACCTTGAGTGGCTACATAGCATTTCATTGGGTGATTATATTAGCTCTTCCCTTAAAACTGTTTTAATCTTGGCCTTTTCTAAAATAGACAGTGCCGCAGTAAACATCTATGTATGCAGCTGATTTCCTTCAGCTACATTCTCATGGGTAACGCTCCTGAGGTTGAGGGGCAGGCCTGCATTTAAAAATGGAGAAACTGGTACACTTTTCAGCTTTTCACACGAGACCCATAACACTTAGGAGGCAGAACAGAGCCTTAAGCTAAAGGTGTACATCAAGCATGTCAAATTCAAAGGCTGACACGGGCCAAATAAGGTGTGTCTGTGGGCCGCAAAAAAACAAAAGCCTTAATTTTCATAGAAATGTAGGTTTATTCCGATAGAGACATGCCAAATACAAAGAGCTGAAATAAATGAGTCATCGTTAACATAAAATAGAACATTTTAATAAAAATATTTTTTCTTGAACGTTAACTTACCAGACACTGAATAACTGCACAAATTAATAAGCATAACGCAGATAAAAACCTATTTTTCCTGTTCTCCAAAAGCAAAATGTTTCCCATTGTGCACACCAAACAAGCCAGTCCAAGACTAAGGACGTGGCCATTGGCTGCTAAAATATTTGCTGCTAGTGTTAGTGGAGAGAAATGGTGCGCCTGTGTGTAAGGGAAATGAATGCTACACAATGATAGTAATCAGTCATTAGTGAACGTTGTAGTTTGTTGTTAATAATTAAGAAATTTTTATTGAAATTTTTCTTACCGTTATATTGGCTGGGCTGCAAAGATATTCGTTGTGGGCCGTGAGTTTGACATGCTTGTGTTAGAGGTTTCCTGATGGAAAAGTGGGTGCAAGGATCCGGGCTGCTCCCACACTGCCTCCTGCTGGAAATTAGGATTGAAAACGGTCAGTGAAATACATGGAAAATATCAAAAAGGAGAGGAGGCAAACTCCCCTTTCCCCTCCCTGTTTTTTTTGTCTTTTCCAAGCATTTCTCTGCTGCCTGGGCAATCGTAGAAATAATCCTCATAGAAGTAGCAAACCCCTGCTGGGTACTTTCCATGTATTCAGTCCAGGTCCCCACGCACACCAGGGGGTAGGTGCTCTGCCCCTCACTGTACAGGTAGGGAAACTGAGGCTCAGAGAAGTGAACTTCAGCAAGCGACAGGACCAGGAAGGGGCGGGACTGGGGTGAGAGCCAAGGTCAACGGGTTCTCCCCAGGTCCCCGCTCATGGCCACGGTGCTGAGTCGGGAGGGAAGCTGTCGCTGTGGGCGAGGTGAGCTCACCAAGGGTGCCAGGCACACGCCCGCGGTGCCGAGATGCTGGCAGAGGTTCCTCGCCCGAGGTCATCGCGCCGTGCCTCCGTCAGCTCCCAAGGTGCAAGGTTCTATGTAGGCCATGCTCCGGGCGGCAGGAGCAATTAGCTGCCGGGGGAATGGCCGGGTGCTGCACGGCGCTCTTTCCAGGGGAACATGCCCCAGTTTGTATAAAAAGCACATTTCTCAAGTACCGTGTATAGTGACAGCCTCCAAAGCTTGTCCTGAGTCCCCAAATGGACTTTTAAAAAAAATTTTTCTAATATATTTTTTATTTTCATTGATTTCAGAGAGGAAGAGAGAGAGAGAAACATCAATGATGAGAAAGAATCATTGATTGGCTGCCTCCTGCATGCCCCACACTGGGGATCAAGCCTGCAACCCAAGCATGTGCCCTTGACCAGAATCGAACCTGGGACCCTTCAGTCCACAGGCCGACGTTCTATCCACTGAGTCAAACCGGCCAGGGCTTAAAACGCACGCTCCTACCTGAGCGGTGTGGCTCTGTGGTTGAGCATAGACCCAGGAGGTCACTGAACCAGGAGGTCACCGGTTTGATTCCCAGTCAGGGCATAGGCCCAAGTTGTGGGCTTGTTCCCTATTGGTGAGGGGTGTGCAGGAGGCAGCCGATCAATGCTGATCTTTCTCATCGATGTCTTTCTCATCTATGTCTCCCTTCCTCTCTCTGTAAAATTAATAAAAACATGTTATAAAAACAATAACAACAAACCACCCACTCCTTCCTACCGGGAAGGTGGCTGCTGCCCACTTGAAGGCCTGGTGGCATCATTCTCGCTGTGTTTGTGTTCTAGGTGGACTCAGCAGTTTTAAGCAGAACCATGAAAACCTCTGTGACAACTCCCTCCAGCTCCAAGAGTGCCGGGAGGTGGGGGGCGGCGCCTCCGCGGCCTCAGTGCTACCTCAGTGCATCCCCACCACCCCCGACATCGAGAACGCGGAGCTGACGCCCATCCTGCCCTTCCTGTTCCTTGGCAACGAGCAGGACGCTCAAGACCTGGACGCCATGCAGCGGCTGAACATAGGCTACATCATCAACGTCACCACGCACCTGCCCCTCTACCACTACGAGAAAGGCCTGTTCAACTACAAGCGGCTGCCGGCCACCGACAGCAACAAGCAGAACCTGCGGCAGTACTTTGAAGAGGCTTTCGAGTTCATTGGTAACTACCTCCCCCGGGGAGCTCGCCTCTTCTGCCTTCCTTTCCCCTCCGGCTTTTCCTTTGATGTCAAGTTCAAGATGAATGTCGGGGTGTTAAAGGAAAGCTGCTCGGTGTGGTTTTGGGGCTCTGCTGCCTGGCGTGGTGCCCAGGGACCTTACGTTATTACTAATATCTGAACCAGGTCATAACCCACCGAGTGTACTGGGTCCATCAGGATGAATAGAAAAGGGCAGGAATTCCACTTGCCTGGGAGGCGTTCGGCTGGAAACCCTCAAGTTCTCAGTGAGAAAGTGGCAGGGGTTAGCTGTGATGCGTTCCAGAGTATAATTTCCATGCAAGAATGGGTAGGAGGCAAGACAGTGGACACCAGAGCTGGTCCTGTGGCTTTCTGGTCTACCTTGGCACCTTGCAGGAAATAAAACATAGTGACTAGACTCGCCCACAGCCCCCTTACCGTGAGTTCAGTGGACTTGCAGTTGGTATGTGAGGTGAGGTAGTACCACGGCGAACATCTTTCTCCATCACATCAGTGCAGAGAAGAGAGAGGACTGGAGGCGGGGAGTGTTTTTCCCTCCCCCTGCTTCGTCTGAAACATCGGGTAGCAAAGGGCGTGGATGTGAGCGTTGGTGAGATGGTACTCAATTTCCTTAGACCAGCGGTTCTCAACCTGTGGGTCGCGACCCCTTTGGCGGTTGAACGACCCTTTCACAGGGGTCGCCTAAGACCATCCTGCCTATCAGATGTTTACATGGCGATTCGTAACAGTAGCAACATTACAGTTATGAAGTAGCAACGAAAATAATTTTATGGTTGGGTCACAACATGAGGAACTGTCTTTAAAGGGCCAGAAGGTTGAGAACCACTGCCTTAGACGGTTCACCCCAGACTCACTGAAGTAGGAAGATCAAGGTGTGTTGCCTGAGTCGTTCCCAAGGAGGAAAATTCTAGTAACAGCAGGCCTTGATCTCCAAAAGGAAGCAATGGCCAGCTTAGCCCTAATTCTACCTTTAATTTTTGCTGCCTTTATAGCCTCAGACTGTGGTAACGTTTCAATGATCATTTGGGGAGCACCTGGCATCTAGCAGATCCTCAACAATTTTTTTCAAGTGACTCTAACCTTGATCACCACAAAAGGGTGACCCCGTGCTTTTCCTAAACATGGCAGCAGCTTGTTACTGGCTGTGTCCTGGGAAGAATGCTCTCGTGTCAGGTGCCCCTCCGTTAGAATAATGCCTTGGGCTCAACAGCCAATTGGGTCTGGTGGACTCGCTGTAGAGTTGACAGCGCTGGCCACTGCCCAGCTCGCTGCCCCACTGTTTTCCTTGCTAAAGTGTCTTCAACGCAGGAACACGGAGTATTCCGCCTGGAAGGAAATTCTGAGTAGGCACCGAACTCAGAAAAGTAAAGTGACTTCTCCAAGGTCATCGGAGGTTTAGTGTCAGTGAAGGGACGAGAACTCAGGTCCTTCCTACAATAAGCTGGGGCAGTGTTTACCATGCTCTGTTCATTCCTGCCTGGTATCACATGGTGCCAAGGGAACTTACCTTCTTTATTACCAATATCTGAGCCAGACCTGGAGTCCAGAGGAAGAAATAGTTGTTGTCATCAGGCAGATGAGGAACTTTCTGGTTGGTACATGATGTTACGGCTGCAATTTTTCTGACTTAATTCCAGTTGAGGGAAGTTAGGAAATTGTGTTCCTTTAGTGAGTAGCATGCAATGTGCTTCCTCTAAGAGGACTGCAATCAAAGCAACCTACATTCTTGTAGGGTATTCACTTACCTGCTTTTGTAGAAGGAAAAACAAACACATAGCAAACAGCACTTCACCTGGAAAACAGTTCCATAGCCCAGCCTGCGTAGCACGATTGTGTTTTCATTGTTACATCGTTGGGTAAACTGAAGTCCTATAGTCTTGATCTAGGGAAAACACAGCAAGTTTTTTTTAAAAAATATATTTTATTGATTTTTCACAGAGAGGAAGGGAAAGGGATAAAGAGCTAGAAACATCGATGAGAGAGAAACATCGGTCAGCTGCCTCCTGCACACCCCCCACTGTGGACGTGACCGCAACCAAGGTACATGCCCTTGGCCGGAATCGAACCTGGGACCTTTCAGTCCGCAGGCCGATGCTCTATCCACTGAGCCAAACCGGCTAGGGCAACACAGCAAGTTTTATAAACACAGTAACACTCAGAGTCTAATAGAAACTAAAAAGAGTCTAGGTTTAGGGTTTATGCCAGTTTATTTCTGAGTTGGGTGATATTATACCCATGTTCACCGAGACTGGTTCGTAGGCATTATTCCCATGGTTCAGACAGAGGGATTGAGTCTCAAGGTCACTCACCTAATGTTTAGTGGAACCAGTGGTCAGAGCAGCGCTTTGTAGCTCATCTTCTTACCACCATGCACCCTAGTCTTGGTGTGGCGGCTGATACCTAGTATGTGCTAAAAAGAAGACATTAAAAGAGGGAGATACTTCCTTGAAATACTTCTTCTATGAGAAGAAAGCCTGATCTGTAGATTTTTAAGATGGAAATTTACAGGACGTTTCTTTTCTTGGTAGTTGTAAGTTAAATCACGACTCTCCTTACCCTGTTGTCCTTTCCTGCTCGTCATCTAGCTCAGTGGTTCTCAACCTTCTGGCCCTTTAAAGACAGTTCCTCATGTTGTGACCCAACCATAACATTATTTTCGTTGCTACTTCATAACCATAATGTTGCTACTGTTATGAATTATAATGTAAATATCTGATATGCAGGATGGTCTTAGGCGACCCCTAAGGGTCGTCCGACCGCCAAAGGGGTCGCGACCCACAGGTTGAGAACCGCTGATAACTGGTGTCCCTTAGGGGACACTTTCTTGGGGATGCCCTTTAGTCTAGACACATCCTGAGGAACCCGTTAGGCAGTGCCACAAGCTGCTCTGAGCTTCTTAATGTCTCTGAAACATATGAAGTATGGTCTTTCCCAGTTGCTCTGGGTTCCGAGCCACTGAAATTCCTCCACGTGTCGAGTGGCCGCCATGTGGAGGCAGAGGGCTCCCCAGCGCAGATGCAGGTGACGTCACGCTCATGCCTGGGCCCACGGGTCCTTTCCTAACTTTGCAACAAGGTTTTCCCATAAGAAGCTGAACATGGTACCTTCCTAGGTGACTTCTGTCCCTTTGACCTCGGTCTGAGTTTAGTAAGACTGACATTCCTATTTATCAATACCAGTTCCTGTCCAGAGCAATTCTACAGCATAAAGACCTGGTTTTTCCTCTCTCCCAGGCAGGAGAGACTTTAATGACTCTAGTTTTGACAAGCCACACAGTCTGGCAATTGGAATTTAAGGTCCTGGATCAGGAGGGTCTACTTGGTAGCTTGCTTCACATGGAAATTAACTGTTGTGGCTCTCGCGTCAGTCAATGCCATCACCTGTGGTGTACCCTGTTACTATGAATACTTCCTTCACCTGCTCTTCTCTTTAAATGCAGGAAGGTAGCTTCTTATTTATGCAAGGATTGCTTTTCGCCCACTCTGGAGGTTGTGACATATACACTGAGTGGCCAGATGATGATGACCACCCCATCAGTACTTCATTGACACTGAGTTTTGAAAACTTCCTAAGCAAATACTCTCAAGGTTTTATTATTATTTGCGTAACTAATTCACTTCATTGTACTGATGGGGTGGTTGGTCATCATCATCTGGCCCCTCAGTGTACATATACAGCGAGCTAGTAAATTATGCTTGGGTTCAAAACCATTTTAGTTTATTCTTCCTCAACAAAATATGGCCTGGTCAAGTCCAGAGGAAAGTGAACTCACCGCCTTCCTGTGTCCTCGCCTTCACCTCTTGCCGTTCTCCCTTCTCCAGAGGAAGCGCACCAGTGCGGGAAGGGGCTCCTGATCCACTGCCAAGCCGGGGTGTCCCGCTCGGCCACCATCGTCATCGCCTACTTGATGAAGCACACGCGGATGACCATGACTGATGCTTATAAATTCGTCAAAGGCAAACGACCAATTATTTCCCCAAACCTCAACTTCATGGGGCAGCTGCTGGAGTTCGAGGAAGACCTGAACAAGGGGGTGACACCGCGAATCCTTACACCAAAGCTGATGGGCGTGGAGACGGTGGTGTGACAGCAGTCGGGACGGTCAGGGTCACTGGCTCCTGTTAGGAGACAAAGAGAAAGGAGAGCGGATTATTTCTTTGCTCTTTTTCTTTCCTTTTTTTTTTTTTTAAGCTGGGGGTAAGGTTTGTGAACAGAAACAAACTCGTTTAAAATCTTTTTATTTTTAACCAGTGTGAGAAGAATTTAACTTTTGGTGCCCATTAAGATTTACTTCCCAGGAGCTGATAAGAAAGATTATTATAAGGATCTCTCAACTCTGGCTAAGGAAGTGGGTTTTTTGTTTTGGTTTTTTTTTTTTTTCAAGCCAACAATAAACATGTAATAAAACTTATTTTTCCCCCCTTTTCCTTTGAAGCTATTTGTAGAGTTTATGATTATATAGTCTGTGCAGGTTCATAGACCGAATATACCCTTTGTACCAATTTAAAAAAGAACCAAAAGACAGTAGAAAAGACATTGGATTATGAAGACCTGGGTCTGCCGGGCCATTCACGTAGAAAACAGACCCACCCCACCAAGCCCCGACCTGCTCACTGGTGCCGCGTGCAGTCAGGGCAGCGTAAGTGGTCTGCGGACCCTTCACGTTCCTGAAAGAGACAAAGATACTGTTGATTTTGTGTGTTTCATACTCTGGATTATTATATTTTTCCCCTTTCTGGGTTGAAGAGATTTTTTTTGAACTAGCAAGGAACTGACCATTCTACCATATGCCTTCACTGTGCAATACTAGGGTGTTTTGAGTGTGCAAGCGAGTTAGAGTGGGCAGCCAGATGCTAGGCAAATAGTGCACATTTGCCAGCGTGGAGAGTCGAGAGAATTACATGAAACCGATGATTTTCCTTCCCACCTTTTTCCTTTAATTTTTTTTTTTTTGAATTTGATTCTGGTTACAGTGCCATAAACCTTGTTACATATGTATATCAGAATGTTAAAAAAAAAAAGACAAAAATTTATTTAAAAATATTTTTCGCAAAAAAAAACAACTGGGTGTGTTTCTGTTGATTTTGTGTAAAGGTTTATTTTCATTATATAAATGAAACTCATTTTGGGACATGTGTGTTTCCTCCTCTTTTCCTCAACTCCAGATCAATCACCTCTTACCTCTGGTAACTGGTCACATAAGTGGACATACACACACATTTTTATAGGGAAGAGGGTGAGGAGGTGAAATGTTCTGTTCTCTATGTGATGCAGAGGGAATGAGCAAGGAAGCAGAATAGCTCGAGGATGGGCCTTCTCAGGGGTCACCCCTATCCTCAGCTCCACCATCTCCTCCTGCACATGCAATTCCCCTCAGGCCGGAGGAGCTCCAAGTAGAGTCACTTTAAGGAAGGAGGGGTTTCTACACCAGCCTGTGAGCTTTGGTGATCAGTTAGGTCCCTGACAGATTGATTGGTTAGAATCCCAGGATCTCCCCAGCGGCTATTCGATGAACACTTGTGACAATCTGCCGTTTAGGGTTCCTGATGGTCATCCCCGCCCCTCCATTGCCACTTGCTCACTTGACATTTTTAGTGACATGGACCGTGGAGGGTGCACCACAGCCAATTTCTAGTTCCTGCTCTTTTACCAGCAAACTGGAGCGGCTTCCTCGGACACAGCTTCCTCCTCTCCCTGGTGGTGTCTTGGCTAATCCATATGAGACATGGCTTATAGTCCGTGGATTCCCGACCCATAGACGAGGGGGTGGGCACAGCAGAGGAATGAAATCAAATGTTTTCTACGTTTTATGAAGATAGTGTCTAGAGGGACTTGGCTTTAGGGGACACTCACAGCCACTGACACTTGCCTAACTAGTTACCTACTTGAAGAATTCTGGTGTGTCCAATTCCACATGACTACTTTTGATAGAGTTTTGTGAATGTTTGCTTACAAATGTTACTATAATGCACTATTTTTGACATTTTTTTAAAAAACAGCTTTTCAACTAGAAGTAACTTTACCTCTTATGAGGACATTAACAGAAATTTTGAATTATTTGCATTGAGTACAAAGTGTTAAGTGAAAAGTAAATCTCTCTCATGCTGTTCTCTATTCTTCAGACTGAGGAGTGGTGGCCGAGCCTATGTAAGGAGTGGGGCTGACCTATAATTTGTGATTTAAAATGTGGGATGATTTGCTAGGCATTTCTTTAAATTGTTGATTCTGAGTCCAAATGTGAGATTTCTGACAGAATCTAAGACTTATTCCCTGTCTCCTTTTTCTTTTAAGAACCAAAACAAAGAGAAAAAAAATCAATACAGGTTTTCTTTAGTTATACGAACATGATTTATGCTTTTTGAACTTTGTGATTTTGAGAGAAAGACAGGAACCCTGCCAGCCAGCATACCAAGAGTTCTGAGAGTGACTCAGAATTCAGGACTTTTGTTTTTGCTAATCGGCTCTGAGTTACTTAGCCTCCATTTCTTCCTGAGGCATGTTAACCAGTTTGTGAAAATAATATGGATTAGCCAAGACGTCACTCTAGACACCAGACTCCCCAGGCCCTAGGCCTCCCTCGGTGTCAGGGAGCCTCAGGGCTGAGCTGGGAAATCGTGGGGTATTATCTTCCCGAGAAAGCCAGCCTCTGACCAATGCATGCATCATGCTCAGAGTCCAGCAGAGCCTGTCTGCTGCTGAATGAATAGAATGACTTAATCGAATGAATTTATAATGTATCTCCTGAGGAAAAAGAAACACAGATACAGAAGGCATTGCCGTCTAAAGTTCCACACACCAGCAGCTCTAGGTCCTCTGTCTAAATTGATTTCAACAGTTAATACCTGTGCAGTGAATGCATGCTCGCCAGGATGTAGAGTTTGTATTTCACAGAAGAGCTTGGGCTAGCTACTTCTAGATGAGGACAGGACGGGCACAGGGTAGCGCGGGGAAGGTGACACGCACAAGGCAACGGAGGTGCCCAGCCCAGCAATCACATCTGTTGACGGAAAAATGAGAGACGACCTTACCAAAGGGTAATCAGACATGGGAAACGGGAAAATGAGAGCTGATAGTAAAACAAAAACTATCAGAGTAAAGAACCAGGACCTGACTCGCCCTTCAGAAGTTGACAGAGATACGATGATAGTAAATTGCTCTCACAGCCCTTCTGGGAGGGGAGATGTCTGGTAAGCCGGCGTGAACAGATACGAAGAACATGGCTGTCACCTTGTTTGTGAACAGACTCCTGTAAATAAGCCACAACACATTGCCTTTGTGTTTCATTCCCCAAACATGGAACAGCTGGCCTCAGGAAAGAGGAGTGGGTACTTGCTTTCAAGTGCTAATTGGAGACGGTTGTTAGGTATGGATGTGGGCGGGAGAGAGGGCCAAAAGTGAGTATTAAGGATGGATGATAATACAGTGATCAGAAAGCGTTTCCACAACAGATCTGTCGGTGGAAGACTTCCTGTCCTTATGGAGGGGATAGACTGAATTCCAGGCTTTCTGGGGTTCCTGATTGGGCAGAAGCTGGAGCGCTGAGAGAGGTGGAATGAGGGGTTTATTCCAGGGATCAGACAACTGGGGTCCAGAGGAGGCATGTCGCCTCCGTGTCTGCTGATGACAAGTCTCGGTGGGTCAGCAGGGCAGGTGGAGAAAGGCTGGGTGTGAAGTGGAGGCGAGCAAGGATGGAATCAGGAGGAAAAGCTAGAATTGGAGTTGACCTGTCACCAGCCTCCACCCTGTGGGTGACTTTGGAGAAGGACCCCCTGCCCTGAACACGGAGCAGGTACAAAACTTGCAAAATTGAGGGAGGAGTTCTGGGAGGAGCTCGCAGAGCTGCACCCACAGCCACGGCCGCCTCCCAAGTCAAGGTGAGCCACCCGGTCAGTGAACAGGGGCGCCAGCTGCCAGAGTGCCTGGCGCCCCAGTCAGAGTGCAGTGGTCGCTGCTGCACGCAGGCCTCCCACAGCTCGTGCACATCTCTCAGGGGCTAATCTCATCCCAGCGAGAGAGAGGAAGGGGGCGTCTACACAGTGCGGTTTCGGATTGAGCCAGGTCTATGCTGGACCACAGCTCCGGCGTCCATCCTTGCCAACTTGGCATCCATCGGCACTCCTGCGGGCCACCGTAACTTCCAGGCAGACATTAGAAAATGAGGTTTTCACCTAATGAGATGCGACTATCACTTCTGTGGTTGAACACACTCCCAGCACTCTCTCCCAGGGAAGAGATGTAGCCCCACGTGTAACTCGTATCCGTTCTTGGATGGTATTCATATCCCTTGGGGTTGAGACCCACTCTCCCCTTTAATATCCTGCTGCTGAAGGACAGGAAACACAAGGATATTATAGATTGGACTGTGCTTGCCAAAGGGGGTGCTTTTGAAATTGTGCACCCCACACCTTGTCAATATGATCTTACTTGGAAATGGGATTTTTGCAGATGGAGTGGAGTTTTAAAGAAGTTCATATTGGAGTAGGATGAGCCCTTATCCAGTTACTGGTGTCCTTAAAACAAGGGGGAAAAAATTGGACCACACACAAAGGGATGAAGGCCGTCTGATGAGGGAGGCAGTGATCACGGTGGCACACGACAAGCCAAGGACAGCAAAGGTTGCTGGGTACCGCCAGGCAGGGGACAGATTCTCCCTCAGCAAGGCTAACAGGGGGTCTTGGAATTCTAGCTTCCAGGTGGTAACAGAATAAAGTTCTGCTGTTTTAACCCACCCTGTGTGTGGGACAGGAGAGTGTAAGTACGTCCTTTGCTCAGACATACTTCTCCTCTAGTGCGTCGTGACCGAGTTTCACCTCCATATCACCCAGCCAGTGCATCACCCCACTCTTTGCCTGTTGCTTCTTCAGCGTGAGGAACGCAAAGTAGCCAGCAGGCAGTTTCAACTTCCAGTTTCATGGAGCCATTGGTCTCCTAGCAGAAGCATTTTTTTTTCCTTGGGAACTAAGTCGTCTAGACAGTACCCCAAAGATTCTTTTTTCCTGTCCTTAGCTAGCTTAAATCTGTCTTCCCTTGCTTTGGAGGGCAGGGGGAAATACCGCTGATTGGAAGTGGTACGGGGCAATGCCAGGATCAGTGGTAGAACGGCAGCAAAAATAATAATTATAATTACAGCGCTCTGCATTTAAATGGCACTTTCTTTCCCAAGGTCTTCCAACGGTTTTCTGAATATCTCTTTGGAATTCAAAAGCATTCACTAAAGAAGACAGGGCAAAATTTAATTACATTAAGTTTTTACTCTGCCATCCAATTCAATTCATACAAAGTAGACTTATTGGAAATGGAATTATTGACCTGCGCATGCACGTATTCGTGGCATATTTTTTTTCCTTCACCATTTATCCCCTCTACTCCCTCTTCCACCTCCCCCTGC